GGGGGGCTCGCGTCGCGGGCATCTGCGCGAGCACGCTCCGCGCGCGGGGGCGCCCCCGTCGCCGTCTTGCCGGGGGCTGGGGGCGGGGGGGGGGGGGCAGAAATTCAAATCCGTTTTTCGCTGCGGGCGATGTTCCGAGTGGCTGCTGACGTCGCGCGGCGTCAAAATGTTGCGAGCGGGCGCGGAGTTGCTCGGGGGGGGTCGGCTGCCGCGCCTCTGTGGGGCGCGCGTGCATATCACGAGCTAGCTCGTTGACTTGGACTGGCTGCTTGCCAGATGTCTCTCCCTGGTTCTTCCCGCTGCCATGGCCAAATTGGCCGTTTGGGGCCTGCGTGCCCCGAAGGTCTCTTTCCTTCGAGGTAGTTTGGATGGTTGGTCCTTTGTCCGTGAAATCGGGAAACGTGGCTGGTTGCTCGTTGGCCGCGTCGTTGATTCGGGCGAACAGTTTCGGGCTTCTGGACCGCGTCCGCCTCCTCTCCGCGGCTGGCCTTGCCCTGCATATCGATGATTATGGTCTCAGTGCGGTTGGTTCTTCCATGAGGGTGGCTGGCGCCCTGGCGGGCGAGGCCCGTCAGATGCTGCTAGCCAGTGAGGGCGGAATCGGCGGCAGGGTGGCGCAAGATGAATCGAGCCTCGCGTGTCCCTCTCGTACGATTGGGGAAGCCATTCAGGGCGGGCTTGGCGCTATGTTCGCGGGCCCTCCGGCCGACAGTTCGAAATATCTCGGGATTGGCGACTCGGCTGCGAAATGTCTTCGGTCCCATGGTTGTTCCAAGAAGCGCATGATTCGGTTGGCCATTTTCAAGCGCGGGGCGTCGTCCCTTCGAGCTTCGCTCGGGCAGCGAAGGGCTCTCGGGGCGTTCGCGGCAAGGCCCCTGCTTGGCCTCCTGCGCGGCAGTGAGGTTCGTGGACTCACTGGCCGCGAGTTTCTAGCAATTCGTTGAGCTGCGGCCGAAACTGTCAAGCCATCCGCGGGAGGGCGCTCCTTGACGGTTTTGTCTCGCATTTCGGGGGCCCTGCCTGGATCGGGGCGGTCGCGCCTATCTTGCGCCTGCGCGAGGGATCTCTTGTCGCCCAGACGAGGGGCTGCGAAGGTTCCTCTCTTTCAAGGAGTTTAGGCCCGCGTCGGAAGGTACTTTCAGCGCGGGTCTTTGCGCGTGGAGGGCAGTCTCAGGCCCTGGCTCAGCCGTGCGAAAGTCGCTGGAGAGGATCTCCTGGGCCATGGGAGACTTTGCCACATTATTTGTGGGTGCGGGTGTCGAGCTCCCCCTCGCACTTATCTCCCCGCAGCTCATGAAACGTCACCTTAACATGCGGCTTTCGCGTCTTAGAGCGGGTGGCAGCTGGGGGGCGGGGCGCGGCGCATAGGTCGTGCTTTGATGTCGCAGGAGAAGACATCCGCAGCAAGCGTTACACGGCCTTCGTGGAGCGTTGCAGTCGAGCTTCAGCGACATACGCGGTATGGACGCGCCAGGATGTCAATGACCACGGGTACGACATCGGTCAGACCTGCGCCATGCGCGGCCTCGTTCCAGGCCATCCATCGCCGTCTGTGGGGCCTGCGCGTGTCCAACGATTGCCGAGCTTCGTTCCAGCCTTGTTGATGACGGTAGTATTAATCGAAGTTTGTCTGAAACCGACCCTGCGCTTCCTTTTTGGAGCCTTTGCCCTTCCTGGGGATTATTTTGCTGAGGCCAGTTCCCGAGGTCTCGTGAAGATGTGCTTGTGTGCTTTTGGTTAGCGAGTTAAGCCGTGCGGGCTGGTGCTTCGCTTCCGTTGATGAACCAGTTGTGTTTCTAGGCGCGGTGCACGGTCTTGTTCCGCCAGTGTCCCCAGACGGCCCCGGCTGGGGAGTTCGCTGCGTTCTGCCGAGCTGTGCTTCTCGTTTCCTGTCATCTTGATGTTCACACGAGCACGCAGCTGGTTATGGGCCACTCTGCCTTCCCTCGCTTTAACCAGCTGTCGCCCGCGCGATTTCTTTGTGTATATATATGTATATAAATAAGCAAAGACATTTCTTTGTTTGTTTGACGAGTGGGTATAGCAATGTGACAGGATGTGCCGTTTTGGCAACCATTGCGCAGGCATGGGTGCCACGAGGCCACGGCTGAAGAGGGATTGTGTGGTCTCCCTCGCCATTCTGCTGAAGTTTGCGCCCGTTTGGTCAAGCTGGCCGGCGCCGCCGCCGAGCTGGGAGTTTGCCTTCTCCCGCCTTAACCACGTTTAGGGCTGGATGGAGCCGAGTATCACAGACCCCCGCCAGCTCCCAAGTGAGTCCGTGTCAGGTGTCAGCGGGCCATCATTCAGCTGCCAGGGTCCCCTCCGCCTCTAGCTGCTGGAAGTGCAGTCGGCGTGGGAGAGCCAGCCGCTCCCCCGCCACGGGCCCTGCCCCCTCCTCCCTTGTCTGTCGTCCGTCATATTTCCTCTCCCCCGCTGTCCTTGCGGGCAAGGGGCATCGCAACATCAGTCTCTTGTGCTCTGAGAGTGCGGGGCTTGTTGGCTGCCTAGTCTGTTACTGCTACCCTTCTCACGGCAGGGTGGCTGGCGTCGGTGAACTTAGCCTCGGTCCGACCAGGGCCGCCGGTTGCGGGAATTGGAATCCGATGTGCAAAGGGCGCCACCCCAGCCGCCCAGAGATCACCGTCGAGCACGGGCCTTGGTCGTGTTTCAATGCAGTTGCCGCCGCCCCATTTGTGTTGGAGGAGGAGGCCGCCGTCGTCGTTAAGTCTGGTGGTGGAGGAGTTACTTCTTCTGCGGGCGTTGCCAATGGGAACGCACCAGGCTCTCGGCCTGGAGTCCATGTTTTTGCGGCAGCGGCCGCCTCCTCCCTCGACGAAAAGGCGAAGAGGCGGCAGCGTGTGCCCTTTTCTCTGATGACCCAGTGGGCCAACTCCCAGCCGCATGCTGCGCGCGCGTTGGCTCGTCCTCTCGTGAGGCGGGCTCTTTTGGGGTTGTTGTCGCAGCGCCAAAGCGAGAGCCACAGTTTGAAAGGCCCTTTGGTCTTTTTTTTTGACATGTCTTCATTTTTGTTAAACGACTCTGCGCGGCGCTAAGGCTTAAAACCACAATTTGACAACGACCTGCCATCCATGTGTCAAGCTCTTGTGAAAACGCCCCGCCGTCAATATGTCAAGTTTTTACACATTTTGAAAAACAATGTGTCGTTGGCGCTAAGGAGAGGGCTACATTTTTGAAGCGACGCGCCCTCCATCTGTGAAGCTGTTGTCAATTGTTTAAGCATCAGGGTAACCAGTCGTGAGGGAGTCTCATGCGAAACGCTCGGCCCGCCCTTTTGACCGGCTTCGGCGTGCTTCACGGAAGAGTTACCCATACAGCTGAAGGAAGGGAGGAGGACGATGAGGAAAAACAAGAGGAAAAGGAAGAAGAGGGACAGGAAAAGGAGGAGGGACGACGGAGGAACGGAGGAGGAACAGGAGGAGGAAACGGCGGACGAGGAGGAGGAGGAGGAGGCGGGGTAGGAGGAGGTGGAGGACAAGCTAGGTGCGCTCGCGTCATATCTGACGTCCTACCCCTCCCTCCCATCCCTTACCATGGCGCTGATTTTCTCTATCCGCGGACGCGTGTCGTAGCGGACCTGTGGCTCCGCGCGCGCGTGCGTAGTGGGTGGTGGTGCACGTGCGTGCGTGCGTGCGTGTGTGCGTGGTTGTCGTGGTGGTGGTGGTGGTGGTGGTGGTGGTGGGTGGTGGTGGTGGTGGTGGTGGTGGTGGTGGTGGTGGTGGTGGTGATGGTGGTGCTGGTGGTGTGGTGGTGGTTGTGGTGGTGGTGCTGGTGCTGGTGCTGGTGGTGTTGGTACTGGTGCTGGTGCTGGTGGTGGTTGTGGTGGTGGTGGTGGTGGTGGTGGCGGTGCGGCGCGGTGGTGGCGGGCGGATGGGCGCGCGAGAAAAAGGCCCGCGCTGGGGCGAGAACGCCATCCTGAACGACGGAGGCCAAACACCGATCCGAAAATGAGGCCCACGCTGCAGCGGGAGCACGATTCGGAACGATTCGGGAGCAGAAATGAGGCCGGCGCCTCAACGAGAGCAGCATTTTGGGAAAAAATGACGCCGGCGCCTCAGCGAGAGTCGTTTCCCGGGATTTCCCGGGCATCCTGTGTGTAAAAAAACAGTACGCGGAGGGTGCGCGGCCATCACCCGGACGCCATCAGGGGAAGAGGGAGAGTATTTTCATATTGAGTAATTGTGGAGGAGGAGGCGGAGGAGGAGGAGGAGGAGCAGGAAGAGGAGGAGGAGGAGGAGGAGCAGGAGGAGGAGGAGGAGGAGGAGAGGAGCAGGAGGAGGGGCAGGAGGAGGAGGAGGAGGAGGAGAAGGAGGCGGAGGAGGAGGAGGAGGAGGAGGAGGAGGAGGAGGAACAGGAGCATGAGCAGGAGGAGGAGGAGGAGCAGGAGGAGGAGGAGGAAGAGGAGGAGGAGGACAGAGGAAAAGGAAGAGGAGCAGGAGGAGGAGGAGGAGGAGGAGGAGGAGGGGGAGGAGGGAGGAGGTGGGGCAGGTCGTGTGGGGGCCCAAGCCAGAGGAGGAGCTCTCGAGGATCTCGCCTTGCCGCTGCCTCTCGTTATGTTCTTTCACAGTCGGGCAGATTCGTTGCTTGCAAGATGTGCCCCCTCCGCTCGTGAGCTCGTGAGCTCGAGGTGGGACGAGTTTGGCAGCAGATCATGGGAGTGCGGTGTGTCGTCGAATCGATGAGACAGCGACGACTTAGCGTCAATTAGCGTCGATGAGCGCTTACAGTCGGACCGAGGCATAAGATCGAGAGGTTGACTCGGGAAGGGTGCCCTGGTGTTCTTCGTGCTTGTTGGATGCTCTTGTGCCTCCTGGGGAGGGCATCCTTGGATGTTCTGTGTGTTCTGGTCGGCAGAGGGCCTCATGTTCTTGCAGGAGGTCCGTCTGTCCCAGGTCCGACTGCACAGGAGGCTCCCACGAGTTGCCACCGAAGGACGAGAGTGAGGCACGGGGAAGGAGGCCCCCTTGGCGCCACCGCCCCAGGTGGTCGACGCCCTGGCAGACCGGCGGGCTCGCGGGCCACGAGCGCCCGGCGGCGCTCTGCTGCGGTGGCGCGACCGCCAAGCCTCGCTTCGTGCGCGAGGGGGACTTCACGCCCAGGACGTCGTTCGCCGAGCGCGTGCCACCGCTCGCAAGGTGCCGAACTGCTCGCAAAGACCTGGGAACCAGCGCATGTTTGCCCCGAGGTGATGGATTGTAGACTCCCTGCGGCGGATTTGGGCCATTTGCGAGCAGTTGCTTTGCGAGTAGTGGAACGCGCTTGTCTAGTCGTCGTCGTCGTTGTCGTCGTCGTCTTCGGATCTCCAAATTTTCGAGACGCCAGGGGCGAAGTGCCGGCTCTGGCAGAGTGGTCGGGACTTCCGGGATCGCCCAGGACATCGTCCTCCTCTACCTCCTCGACGTCTTCGTCGACCCCCCCGTCCTCGTCCTCGTCGTCGTCGTCCTCCTCCTCCTCCTGCTCTCTTCGGCGTCCATGCCGACCTCTTCAACCTCCCCCGTTTCCTCCTCGACCTGCTCCTCCTCCTCCTTGACCTCCTCGACGTCCTGGTGGAGGGAGGGGATGCAGGGTTGGACTGTGGAGACGCTGTCCGAAGCATAGATTTGTCGGCCTGCCCAGGATGATGGAGATCGCATCCGAGGTGGACTTCAGGCCGATGCTTGCAGTGGGATTGTGACGGGGAGCAGGGGGAGAAGGAGATACTGGGCGAAGAAGAGGCAACCACAGCCGCTTGGCTGAGGAATCCCCCTTGGCGCCCCCCCCCTTCCGGTCCGCGGAGATGATCCGCGAACGGCGTTCGCAATCGCGCGCCGCGCCGCGCGCATGTCATCTCCTCGCCGAGGGATCGGGGCCTACCTCGGGTGCCATGGGGGGCCGTTCCCTCGACCGGGTGTTTGTTGTGTTTCCGTCTTCGCTCCCGAGGCGCAGAAAGGGTTGGTGGGTGGTCGGCCAGAGGGAGAGGATGGGCGAGACGGAGGGTGGACGAGCAGGAACAGGAACGATGAGGGACGATGAGGATCAGGGAGAGGATGTAGACAGGGATGATGATGGTGATATCGACGATCATGACGATCATGACAACGATTCTGATACCGCCGGCTATGACCTATGCGACCACAATTCGGGTGAGAAGGAGGTTGGGAGGGAAGAACCAACTGCTGGCCACTGCGATGGGTGTGATGATGACGATGCCGGTGACGCGCCCTCGAATTAGCGACGACGCGTGATGATGATGTTGTGTTGCGATGTAATGTCACTATCGTTCTCACCCTCGATCTCGGTTTCGGTATCATTGTCGATCTCACTATCGATCCCTCTATCGATCTCACTATCGATCTGACGAGCGATCTCACAACCACTGCCACAGTCAACCTCACTGCCGATCTCACTTTTGATCTCACTATCCATCCCATTCTATCGGTCTCGTATCGATCTCACTATCGACTTCACTATCGAGACCGAGGCGGGACAACCCTGGCCACCGTCGGGACACCGACGGGACACCGACGGGACACCGACGGGACACCAATGGGACACCACAGGACACCGTAGCAGGACACCCCAGGCCACCGCGCGCGCACCAGGGGCGGATGGGCGGTCCACTGCATCCGAATCGCCTTAGCGACGGTGGGGTCATTCCTCTCGCGCGCCCACGCAGCTTCGCCTCGCCCGCACGCAAGACACGAACCTGAAACCGATACCCATTTCCTGGCGGGGGGGCTCTCCGTTCAACTGCGATCTCACCCACAACCTCCGACGATGACGATAACGCCTGCGATGACGATGGTGATGGTGATGATCATGAACTGGGCTGATGAAGATGATGAGGATAATGATGACGATGTTGGTGATCATGATGATGGTGATGATGAGTATGATGAGTGGCGAAGGCGAGATACTGGGTGATGGTGGGTGGTGGCGTAGGGCGAGGGCCAGGAGGATGAGAAGAAGACAGGGAGCGATGGATGAGGAGGATCATGGAGGAGGGAGGAGGAGGAGCAGGAGGATGGGTCAGGAGGATTTCACAGGTCCATGCTCACGGAAGGCAGCTTCCTCTTCGAGGGCGTGGCTGGCAACATCATCGAGCGGCTGGGGTTCGGCGACAAAGTCTTCGTCACGAAGGGCACCACCCTGATAGAGGCGCCGGACGCCTTGCTCCTCTTCTCAGAGCATGAATTACCTACCCCGCTTTCGCTTCCAGACAAAACCAAGTCATACACAAGCGGCCTGGCTGGTGCGGGCCGCAGCTTGGTATCGTTCGGCATCTTTTGGAAGCGAGGTAGGTTCGTGTGCCTCCTATCTTTCCCCTCCTTTTCCTATTCCTCGTCCTCCTCCTCCTCCTCCTCCTCCTCGTGCCTCCTCCTCGGCCCTCGCCTCGCCGAGCCCCTCGCGCTCTTCTGCCCTGCACGCTGGGCGCCAAGGGTGCCCCTGCGCTGGCCCACTGGGCCGCCAGAGCACGACCTGGCACAGGCAGCACCGGGAAGGCACCCGGGAGGCGCTCGCGGGCAGCCCAGGAAAGCAGGGCTCGCCTCGAGTCCTCCGATGCGATTCGATTCGGTTTCGATGGCTTCCGATTCGATTCGACTTGGGATTCCGAGCTGGGTTCCGATTTCCGCCGATTTGACTCTTACCGACTCGGCCGCCGATTTTCGCCGATCCGATTCGTTTCGGTCGCTGGTCCGACTTGCCGATTCGAATCTGGGCTCTCCTGGGAAAGGCACTCAGATGGTCCTAGCGGGCGCCTGGCAAGAGCCGGTCTGGAAAAGAGCCAACCTCCTCGGGCTCCAGGTGGGAGGTCTCCAGAACGGCATTTGACCCAAGTTGGCCGCGCGAATTTCTTGGATCTGCGTTGGGACCCCCTGGGGGCACCTCTGGCCCCGCCCCTGGCGCGCTCCGCGCGCCAGGGAGGGGGGTCTAGCGCAGATAGCGCAGATCCAAGATATCCGCGCGGGGAGCCGAACGTTTCTGTATATGGAGTTTTTTTTATGAATCCCGCTTGATCCGCGGCTTCAACAGGCATTACAGCCTCCAATGGGGCTGAATCCTCCGTCCTTCCGGCGAAGACCTCCCAGCAGTTGCCTCGTGATATGCCGCCTGCCCCGCATCGGAGGTTTCCGGTGGACAGGTTTCCCGAGGAGCCTCGATCCCGGGGCCTTGTCGGCCGAGCTGTGCGAGCCTGGCACGCCTCGTCCGCTCTCCGCCACGCTCAGGGGCAGCGACAGGGGGGGTTGTAGGCTCAGGGTGAAAGTCGGGGCGTGTCCCTCTGCAGGAGGGATCTCCAAACATAGTCCAACAATAGTCTGGGGACGACTTCTTTGAATATTCTTGTCCAGTTTGGGGCATTTTTGGAGTGAATCGTTTTTTTCGTGCAAAATCCACCTGTAGGAGGACATGCCCGACCTAAGCCCGGGAGCCCCCAAACGGGGTGGTGACCATACCGTGTGGTGTCGGGGGCTCGAGCCCCTCTCCGAGGATGTCTCGGGCGACTCGGGCCTCCAGGGTCCCAAAACCGTGCGCCGACGGACCGTGCGGTGAGGTCGTGGGGGAGTTCGAGGTCACCGCACGGACTGTCACCGCACCGTGCCGGGCTCCAGATAGGCTCAGGGGGATGCGCCGACCCCCAATCGCCCATTGATCGCCGATAGGGTCTGATAGCCCTACCCCGCTCTCGAACGTGCGGTTTCGCTATCGGGGGCCGGCCGCCGATCGATCGGCGATGCAGCGCAGATTCCAGGTCGATGTTCCCCCCTGTGAGGCAGACCTCTTCCTATGGTGATGATGATGATGATGATGATGATGATGATGATGATGATGATGATCCTGATGAAGCTGATGATGATGATGATGATGAAGCTGATGATGATGATGAAGCTGATGATGAAAATGTTCATGATGATAAAGCTGATGATGATGAAGACGGTGGTGATGACCATAATGATGCTGATGATGATTTTGATGTTGATGATGCTGCTGATGCTGAAGATGCTGATCATGCTGATGATGATGATGATGATGGTGCTGATGCCGATGATGATGATGATGATGATAATGATGCTGATGCTGATGATGCTGATGATGCTGATGTTGATTATGTTGATGATGCTGATACTGATGCTGATGCTGATGCTGATGATGATGATGATGCTGATGATGATGATGATGATGGTGATGATGATGATGGTGATGATGAAGATGATGATGATGATGATGATGATGATGATGATGATGACGATGACGATGATGATGATGATGCTGATGATGATGATGATGATGATGATGATGATGATGATGATGACGATGACGATGATGTTGCCGGTCATGGTGATGGTGGTGGTGGTGATGTTGCTTTTGCTGATGATGATTAGGATGCTGAAAGGGGCATATATGGTCGAAGAGGGCGGAGGATGACGACGACGCTGCCAGTTTCATTTCCAAGAGGCGGGGGCCGACAACAGCGATGTCTTCGTCGTCGGCCACGGCCTACTCTCGGTGTGGGTCGGCGGCGTGAGGGTGGCGTCCGTGGGCCCTGGCCAGGTCATCGGCTTGTGCCCTTTGCGTGGCAGGAGGAGGAGGAGGCGGAGGAGGAGGAGGATGAGCTGGAGAAGTGAGGAGCAGGAGGAGCAGGACGAGGAGGAGGAGGAGCAGGAGGAGGAGGAGGAGGAGGAGGTGGAGGAGGGGGGAGGAGGAGGAGGAAGAGGAGGAGGAGGAAGTCCGTAGCCATTTTGGCCCAAGATGGGATCAGGTCCCATTGCGAGCGGGCAGCTCTCTTCCGAGCATTCCAGCGTGTCGTGCGCTGGCGGACACGGTCCCCGCCACCCCCCCACAGTCGAGCTGGGATGTCCGCGGCTGCCGCCGCCGAAGACTCCCAACAGGCTGAGTCCATCAGTCTGCACGACGATGCCGCCACCTTCCCCTCGCAGGAGATTCCGCGCCGCGGACACGGTGATGCCGGAGAAACAAAACCGCCAGATGGGCAGATAGCAAGACCGTCAGAGGATCCGCTGGCTGTTGTGGATAAACTTCGCACTTGTGTTAGTGACACTCGGAACGAGATGCTGGAAACCGTCAAGCGCCTGCAAGTCCAGGTGGCCGCGTTCGGCACGACAGTCACCAACAACTGCGACACCATCTCCAAGGCCTTCGAGGTGCGCTTCGCCGAGATCCACTCAGCCCAAGCAGCCATTAACTCCAGAGTCTCAGTGCTGGAGCAGCATATGGCCGAGGTGCGCGCCCTTGCATCAAGGAGGAAGAGCGTCTATCAATCTCGGCGACACCTCCTTCGTAAAAGGCGAATCGACCCTGGCATCATCATCTGGAGGTCCAAGTCTGTCGTCACCCGCCAGGAGATCGAGAGAGCAGTCGCCCCAATGTTCCAGCGAGCATACTTCGAGAAGGGCGACTACTCCTTGTCGGCCGACCCCGCGGGCAAACGGTTCACATTCGGAATCAAGGGGAATGCCACCAACGCCGCGCGGAAGGTATCGCAGGCCATTGGCGCCCTGCGCGAGCCCAGCGGTGAGTGGGAGAAGTTTGTTGTTTCAGATGTTCAAGGTCAGATGGCCGAGCTGTTCGTCAGCGCGGACAAGTCGCCGGCCATGGTCAAGAGAGAGAGAGAGAGAGAGAGAGAGCTGGGCCTGAAGCAGCTTCGCAAAGCCTTCGAGGCCGAGGCGGCGGGCTTCAGGTACAACAGCGACAAGCAGAAGGGTGATATCAGCGCCATCTGGAAGCCGCTCGCGAAAGTCACGCCGCTCCCAGGAGACGAGCAGTGCAAAGTCGAGTGGTGCATCCCCGACCTCGCCGAGCTTGGAAATTCCAAGGGGCGTATCGCCGGCTGGTCCGGTGCCGCTGGACAGCCAGCAGCGCCGCCTTAGTGGTCGCCTCCGCAGTCTATTGCGCAGATGGCGCCGCTCCCGTCAATTTGAATGGCCCCTTATACTGACCACTGGGAATGCCAAAGCCTTCTTTCATTGCAACCCTGCCCTGCGTGAACCCAAACTCGCCCTCCTGCGGAAGCTTCTCCGTCTGTCTTGCCCCATGATGGCGGTCCAAGAGGGCCATGGCACAAGGCTAGAGATCCAGGACTTCCTGTACCATTCTAGCCTTATGTACTCGGCCTACTCTTCGTTCTGTTCAAGGTCCCAGGCTGGAGGCGCGTTCACCTTCGTCCCAGTTTTGGTCATCTAGGGGAGCGTGCTCCCCGCACTAATGTTGCTGAACTCGTTCCTGGACGGGCCCTGTTGGTGGCTTTGACGTTTGTCGACGGCGTAATGATTGAACATCGCTATATTCACGCCTCGCTCGCCCTGCCCGTGTCCTGGTCGTTGTCAGCGGAGATTTTAATTATGCTTGCAAGCCGCCGCGCAAGGAACCAGACGCCGAGGTAGATGATGCATCCCGCCATTTTATCCAGGACTGGGGGGCCAGGCAAGAAGTGGTCTTCATGAGGCAGTTGAGGAGGATGGTTGAAGTGGGCGTCCAGGAGCCCACTCACCGTTTCGCGGCGAAGCGGATGCTCAGCCACATTGATCGGCAATGTATTTCTCTCCCTGTCTGGCTACGCCTTCAGCTTCCTAGTGCTGGAGAGGTGGTGGAACCGCCCGAGCTTCTCAACAGGGGGGAGAATGCTGATCATGCGCCGGTTCAGGTCACGATTTCCCCTGGGCTCAGGTCCCCATTTCAGGCCCAGTTCCACCAGAGGCTTGTGACCACCCTGCTCACCGTGAGTTTCTGGAAGCTGTCGTGGCCAACTGTGACCTGAGCTCGCTCACTCTTCCTCTTCTGCTTTCGCTCCATATCGAGATGATGCGCGAGGCTGCTGAGATCGCCCGGGGCAGTGCGATTAGTCATTGGCTCCCCAGAGGCGCCCTCTACCCGAGCTATCGGCCGAGCGATCTGGAGGCAAGACCTCGAATGTGCAGACAGCGTTAGACGTTCGCATGAGCAGGGCAGGTTCGTCCTTCGTATTGATCCACTGGCGGGGGCGCTGGAGCTCGCGGATCGGGTTGAGGCCCAGAGACGCTCGAACTCGATTCTCGAGATTACTGCGATTCAGGACGAGGCTTGCATCCGCGCGGCGATCTCGGTTTTGATCGACGAGACGACTAGAGCCAAAGCGCGCCGACGGTGGAAAAAATAAAAAAACTCGTCGCAGCCGCTTCTGAACACCATTTGATAGAAGGATGTCCCTGTCGGATGTCAAGTCGTCTGCGAGGGGCGCGGTTGTCGCGGCGCCTTCCGCCGCTGTGCATATGCTTGCTGGTCAGCGGGGGCCAGTCTTCGCAAGGAAAGAGATCAATCTCTCGGCCGCCCAGGAGTATCTTCGTCGCTTTTCTGATGGTGTTGATCTATCTGCTGTTCCCCCCCTTCACTTCGCCTCCTCGAGCGTCGTCTTGAGCGCGTTGAGGATAGCGCCCCTGGGCTCGATGGTTTGCCCTGCAGGGCTTGGGAGAGGCACCCTCAGGCCCTCGCGATTCTGGGCGCTGATTTATGGCGGCATCCAAGTGGGAGGCCGATCCTCCCGTCCAACAACAGCACCCGCGGTGCGTTCATTGTCAAAGGCGAGGAGGGGGAGATCGCCAATGTGATCGCCAGGGCCCCCGACCAGACCCGCCCCCTAGGTCTCAAGCGGTCCTGCAACAAGATCATAGCTGGCACGGTGTTTGAGGGCGTTAACAGGCCCCTCAATGCGCGTTTATGTCTTTCGCATTTTGGATGATCGCAGCCGAATGACTTCAACGTTACCAGATGGAGCTCTTGGGCCCCCAGCCTTCTTTTTCTCCGATTATGGCTGGGCCTTTCCATCGGTGGCCCGCCCCCATGGCCCTCGCCGCCTTCAGGGCCCCCGCGCCGCTGCTGGTCTTTGTGGAACATGCATGCTCGAGAGTTCGGTGCTCCGCTACCTACGGGCGCGCGTGTGTTCGACATCCTTGTTGGCATCATCTAAGGCTGCCCTGGTTCAGGAGCGTTGTTCGCCATCGGCAGCCGCCCCTTCCTGGTCGATGTGTCCCGCCGCCTGGAGCAACGTGCCGACGCACCTCAGGATGCGATGCAGAGTCAGTTGCAGGCCGTCATTGAGCAACGATGCTTGAGTCTTGCCCGATCGTGCGCTGACGACTTCGGGGCAGTGGTCTCCTTGATTCGTGATATTCATCACCTGGAAGCCGTGTTTGACTGTGGCGAAGCTTTTGCCTGTCTCCAGCTGAATCGCGCACCGTGCTTCTTAGCTCCCCTGGCGGGGAAGTTCCCCCCTCCCTCGTCGCCAAGTATCGGATGCGGTCTCTGAGCCATCTCCCCGACTGGGTGTGTTTCCCGATCGTTGCGCCCTTGAGTTACCTAGGTCTCATGATGGGACCTGCTGTCAGCACTGACAGCTGGGACAAGCCGTTCATTATGTGGGCCTCGCGTAGTGCGGTGGTTGCGAAGGTAGGCTCCGCGTCTGCCGTCACAGAGAATCTACGCGCTCGCCGCGCTCTGTCCACCCTGTCCTATGTCGCCCAGTTCTCCTCTTCCCGATGCCTCCTCTGCTCTTCCTGCCCCCGCCTCTCGCTTTTGGCGCGCGACGTTTGCTTCTCTCTTCAATGTCCCACGTTGTGCCATAGTTTGAGCCGTCTGCGTCGGCATCGGCCATGGGGGCGGCCCTCGCCTCGCCGGCATTCAGGCTCTGAGCGCTGCCTGTTTGATGCGTGCTGGCCTCCACGCATTCCCAGAGCACGCTGCGTTTTTAGACGATTTCAGAGAGTTTGCAGCGTCGCACCTCCCAATCGTGAATCTTTGTGTTGGCCTGTCCTCGCTTCCCTTCTGGGCCTGCCCGTCGTTTGTCGAGTGTCTAGGACATGCCGCCGTGGGCTACCCCGCCTCGCGCGCCCTCGCCCGAGCTGGATCGGTCGCTCTGGGCGTTGCCGGGGGGCTTCTCGCCGCGGCCCCAGAGTCTCCTCGACCCCCTAAACGACTGAGATTGCAGGCTCATCTTGTTCGAGTTGTCCAGCGAGAACTCTTCCCAGCTGACCTCGGTGCGACCTTCGGGCGCCGTCTCGCTTCGAGGTTTCCTGAGTCGGCCGGGGTTGTGGAGTTTGTCCATTGGGAAGAGGCCCGCTCGCTTGTGCGCGGTTTGCGCGGTTCTCTCGCAAATGGTGCGTGGAGGACCCTCTTTGGTAGCTGGATCACTTCGGCGAGGTTTCACGAACACCGACGTTTAACTTCTATGTTCGGCTGCCAAGCTTGAGATTCCTTTCAACACTTCTGGGGGTGCCCCTTTTTGCTCGCTCTGCTGCGCCGGGCTCTCGCGAATGACGTCAATTATTGTCTCACCTGCCGCTTCGGTATCTTCTCTCCCGCCCGCTCATCCCTGACCGTCCCTGCCTGCTTGTGCTCATCTGTTGTTCCTGAGTCTCAGTGCTCTTTATCAGCCGCCGTTCCCTGTCTGTTTCGGCCGCTAAGTCTGCAGTGCCTTTCGCGAGGACGCAGCTCGGGCGGGCGCGCGCGGGCGCGGGCCGATAGACAGGACAGCGGCGCATGGCCACGCGCGACGAAGAGGAAGAGTAAGAGGAGGATGAGGAGCAGGATGAGGAGCGAGGGGAGGAGAGGAATCGTAGGAGAACAATCTGCCGATACTGCTCCCCTTATCTCGTCGCCACGGGTGGGGTCGCTTCGGAATCCTGGCTTAACGCTCTCCTGGCCCCATAATCGAAGCGACGCCGCCCTCGACACCTGCAGCCGCTAAGCGCGTTCCAGTTTGTGGCCCTCTAATTTATTGGCATCGCTCGGGCGTGTGTGTTTTTGTTTTCTGTGAGGGCCATCGGGGGGCATCTTGGATCATCTCACGGAGCGAAACGCTGGCGAAACGGAAACGCGCGCGAGGCATGGACGTCCGAGCGATTGCGAACTTTCTCGTGGGAGTCTCAAGCGGAAGCCCCATATTGGAAAAACATGAACCGTCCTCATCCCGCCCACGTGCGTGTTGCAAACTCTTTGGGGCGAAGGTGCACGGCGCTACGGCCAGAGCCGCCTTTCGAACAGAAACCGCCAACCGAGCCATGGAAGAGCTGCACTCTTGTAGACCTACAGCGGGAACCCATTCCAAGAAACACCCTGCTTGCCTCCAGGGTGCCATGGGATTGTTTGTTTATACCGATGGTTGTGCGATGGGAAGCGCGACGTTTCCACGCCAAAACTCACTGGACATCCTGGTGTTGCAGGGTTTTTGTTTGCAGAAGGCTTCTGGTGGTCGAGTTCCTGCCGCATGTGCGCGTCACCAAGACGAGAGCCCCAGTCTGAACCCCTCCCTCTTTTTTCTTGCAGTTGCGACCTTCAAGCTTCGGGATTAAAAAAGTGGTGCGAAAGTCTGAGGCGAAACGCCTGTCTACCGAAGCGTATAGTCGCACGGCAGGGGAACTATCCATGTAGAGTGGGACGGAATAATATTATTTTCCAATGTATATGTGTATGTATATATGTATACATATATAGACACGTATACGTGTCCATATATATATATATGTATATAAGTGTACACACATGCATACATACATACATATATATATGTGTGTATATGTGTATATATATGTGTGTGTACGTGTATACATATATGTATATATATATATGTATATAATGCCATGCTGGGCCCTTTGCGGGGGTTCTTCTGTTTGCTCTGTCGCCCTCGCTGGATCCGCCTCGAAACCATTGTCGGGACTCGCCCCAGGGGGGCCGAGCCGGTGATTCAAAGATGGCGTCCTGAGGGATGGGCTCCCGAGGACGAGGCGCCCCAACCAATGCAAATCCACCTTCGTATCCCCTCCCACCCTCAGGCCCCGATCCCTCAGGACCCCATGTTTGAACCACCGAGAGAGGGCTGGAGGTCGGCTTGATGCCGACGGCAGGCATCGGCTACAGATGTACCGAGGCAGAAGGTCGAGGTCGTTTCGGGGAGGGTACGCTGATGTTTTTCGTGCTTGTTGGATGTGTTTGTGCATCCTGGGGGGAGTGTGCCCTTGAATGCTACTCAGTTTGGCCGGCGGTGGGTCTCATGTTCTTGCAGGAGTTTCTTCTGTCCTGGGTCCGACCGTATCGAGGGCCTGTTGCAAACAGTCGCATTCAGCAGAGGTTCGGATCCGGACTCCCCCCCCTCCGCCCCTTTGTCGAAACGTCGGAATAAGAATCGCTGACCTACGGAGCCACGAAGCGTGTCAGGGGTGCGCCGAAATGGAGGTGAAACTGCATGCGGACCCTGCCACTGGGGCCTTCGGTGGGGCTCCCTATTGGGGCCACGAGGTGTGTGAGGGGTGTGCCAAACTGGGCATGCGAGAGGGCAGAGGCAAGGATTGGAAAAGGGAGGCGGCGGGAGGGGGATGAGGAAGGAGTGAGACGCGGGGCGCTGTCTCTTCAAAGCGAGGACCCATGACCACAGGATGGTTCGAAAATAGCAATGACCATTTTTGAACAACAAATGCAACACGACTCGATGCGTGCAGCCGAAGGTACACGCTGCTGAAGAAGACCCACGCGAGCGCCAGTGTGAGGGTTGATTCGGAGGTCGCCTACGTGCTGGTGCTCCGCCACAGCTACTTCATGAGCTGCTTCGAGGGCTCGCTGGAGGTGGTGGAGAGGATCCGCGGGAGCCCAGAAAGGGCGGGAGCATGCAGCTGGTTTCGGCCACGCCGCCCAGCGCGTTCTCGTTACATGTTCGCTCCCGGCGCTGTGTAGTGCCGGGCACACCAGTTGCATGCAGTTGTTCTGCTTACCGACCCCTTGGACTCCTCCCCCGTTCTTTCGTCCCCGAGGATGAAGATGATGCTGCGGCAGAGGGAGATGGAGAATAAGGCCAGGTGTCAGCTCACGTGTGTAAAAAATACTGACGAACGATAAAACAAACCCAATTGTGAATTGTGGCAAGACAATTCAAGAGCGATGATCAACTGTGATAATCACTCGACTGTGATAAACTCAAGCGAAGTAAAACCCAAGAGCTTATCCAACTCAAGTTTTTTAGCACCACACATCGATGAACAGACACATGGCATGAGCAACAGAGGTCCGTGCTGGTATCTCTGGTATCGGCGCTGGACCCCCAGCGCCGGAGGCGCCGCCACGGGGGCCCCATCGCCGACCCAAGACGTCCGCGCGGTCCGACGGAAGTTTATGTTTACCCATCTGTCGTCTTGGTATCGCTCGGACGTGTGCTTGTTGTCTCCGACCGGCGAGGACCTTCGAGGAGCATCTCGGACCATCGTGCGAGAAGCAACGCACAAAACCAAAACATGCACGGGGAATGGATGGTCGAGCGATGGCCAGTCGTTGAGACCAGCCTTTTTGAACACCCACATGCCAATCTACTTCCAGCGCCTTCCTGTTTCAGGAGTCGAACTGTGTTCCCTCTTCCGCCTCTTCAGGGGCAGGCGGACACCCAATCTACTTTCAATGCCTCCTTTCAGTATTCTTTACCCTAACCCCATCCCCACCAGGCTATGATATCTCAGCCACACCATCCCACCACCCCAGTTGGGGATAGCCTCGAAACCCAAAGGAGGCCTCCAATCTCATCGTCCAGGGGGGTAAATCTGCCAGTGGGGCCTGTGCCACGCCAGTGAGGATGTGATCGCTCAAGCGATGGTCAGAAGCGGAAGTCCAGAGCAAACCCGCGACGTTCCAGTCATGCTGTTATACAGTCAACGCGCATGGTAAGGATGGGCAACTTGCCCGAGGGTGCCCTGTCGTCCTTGCTTCCTCGGTCCATCCGCGGCCACTTTCGTCGGCCCCGCCCCGCTCGGAAAGCTCCGAAGTGGCCTTCAAGGCCCGTGCTTCCGTATCTCAGGAGCGAAAGAAGGACGTACGTTTACATGGATCCACGCTGGTTTCGAGAGTGCGCATTGCGCGAATGCTCTTGTCGCGCGCCCGGTCTTGCGGATCGAGTGGCCGTGTTCACGCACATAGTTTGGCGCGTACGTCCCTTTCGGGGACCGTAAGACTCGAGTAAGCCCGAACTCGGATTAGCCGACTTTTTTTTTCACGAGCGCGTCCTGGATTTTGACGGTCCAGTTTGCAGCGGGATGTTTGCAGCGGGAGCTCACGTCGAATTTCAGATTGGGTCTCGCCATTTTTATGATGGTCCCGTCAGGCCAGCCCGAGTCCCCCGTACCCGATTGTTTCGTCTCCCCGACCTTTCTGTGGGCTCCCTAGTATCAGGCATCCTTACTCCAGGGCTTCACTGTACATTCGGATGCAACTCATGGGAGGTCAAATTTTGAGTTTGCCCTATTCCCAAATCCGGCTTAATCCGGCTTAGTCCCGGTTAATCCAGTTTAATCCCGCTTAATCCCGCTTAATTCGGCTAAATCCCGCTTAATTCGAGACCCTTTCCAGCGCAACAGCCTCCCACTCCTCCTTAATCCTCCGGCGAAGACACAGGTTCACTGTACGCCCCCCAGTCCCAGGCCACCGCCTCGTCAGTCTCTGCCGGCGTTCCTCTTTCACCGCGCGAGTCGCCCTATTGTGTTGACACGAAAATAGGCGAGCGCACCGTGGGCCCGAGGTATTCCCGCGGCGGCTCGGCTTCGAGAGAGAAGCGCGGCCCAGTCCAATCTACCAAGCTGCGAGGAGTGCGACCATGGGGGGGAGGTGGAGGAGGAGGAGGATGAGGAGGAGGAGGAGGGGGAGGAGCAGGGGGAGGAGGAGGGGGAGCAGGAGGAGGAGGAGGAGGAGGAGGAGGCGATGATGATGATGATGATGATGATGATGATGATGATGATGATGATGGATGATGATGATGATGATGATGATGATGATGATGATGATGATGATGATGATGATGATGATGATGATGATGATGATGATGATGATGATGATGATGGATGATGAGGAGGAGGAGGAGGAGGAGGGAGGAGGAGGAGGAGGAGGAGGAGGAGGAGGAGGAGAGGATGAGGATGAGGATGAGGAGGAGGAGGAGGAGGAGGAGAGGAGGAGGAGGAGGAGGAGAAGGAAAGGGAGGAGGAGGAAAGAGAGGAGGAACAGGAGTAGGAGGAGGAGGAGGAGCAGGAGGAATGTTTCCCCGCAGGGGCTCCCCCATAAGCGGGGGGTCGGGCCAAAACGCCCCCTGATGCAGGCGGGGAGCCTCGGGCCTTCGGGAGGACGCTTTCGTACTCCCAGCCGGCCGACGTTTTCCCTGCGCGCGGAGCGTCCGGCGCACTTTCGGGGGGACGCCCGCAGCGGGCGGGTTTTCCGTGGGCGCGGGAACCCGCGCGGCCCCCCCTTTCCCCGCCCGCCCCCGCCTCTCGCCGGGGTGTGTGTTCGGGGGCGCGCAAACATGGATTAACGATCCATGGATTTGGCGCGCGGTCGCCAAATCCATGGATCGGGGGGGTGCCCCCCCCAAAATGCGGCCAGTGCCGCTTACTTAGGCGGCTGAGATCCGCGATTTCCCATTGAAACGGGACCCGTCGCTAGTCCACGCTCCCTTGATTCATGTTTGCGATCGCCTGATGTGTGTGTGTGTGTGTGTGTGTATGTGTGTGCTTGTGTGTGTGCGTGTGTATCCTACTTTTCGGGGCCTCCCGAAAGCTTTTGGTCGCTGGGGCCCCAGCCAGACTCAAATCAGACCTCGCCATCCCCGGGGGCAGTGATCTGCGAGGCCGTCGCCAGTTTCGAGAGCTGCTGGGGAAGGGGAGGGCAGCACCGTGGGGGCCCCACCCAGATTCATTTTGGACCTCGCCATCCCTGGTGGGCTGCTATCTGCGAAGGATCAGCTTAGGCAAACGGGTCAGGACGGACTCCGGGGGTGGGGACCGGGGACCGATTTCCAGAACGGATTTTCGAGCCAGGTGGGAGGTCCTGCCTCAATTCGCCCCCCTCCCAAGTAGGGGCGGCCTGCTTTCGACGGGGTCACCTCGGTGGATGCGGGGGGTGTGCGATCAGGGGCAACGATGGAGGGATGGGTTCAGGGGGGGTGCGCATCGACCCCCAATCGGCCCACTGGCCGCGGATAGGGGCCCGATGGCCGATCCCGCCCAGGAGCATGCGGTTTTGCAAAACAATCGGACCGAGGCATGGGATGCGAGGTCGGTTCGGGGAGGGCGCCCTGATGCTCTTCGTGTTTGTTCGATGCTCTTGCGCATTTCTGGGGAGGATACCGTTGGAGGTTTTGTTGGAGATTCTCATATTATTGCTGGTTGTTTTTGTTGGAGAGGTCCGACCTTATCGGGGGCCTACTCCCGATCTGTCGGAGTTGTATCACCGTTCCCAAGTGGGTGTCTCCCCACCCGAGCTGGCCCCCCCTATTGTCGCCCCCCATCGTGGATCTGGATACAGTTCGCTGCCTGTGAATGTGCTCGGAATTCCGCCTTGAGAGTGGTTTAGCGTACGCTGGCGTCTGGGACTCAGTGAGAAGGCGCCGATTTGGCATCGATTGGCGTCGATGTGGCGTCGCTAAGCGTCCGGGGTCGACCTAAACGGTGTCTTGGCGATTTCGTGGGCCGAGGTCGCTTTGACCCCGTCTCACAGCGAAGGCGGAGCGAAGACACAACGAGGGAATACGTCAACGAACACGCCAACGAACAACACTGTTTCGGGCGATCCCTGGAAGGCACCGATGTGGCATCGATTGGCGTCGATGTGGCGTCGAGGGGCGTCTTCAAGCGTCGATGTGGCCTCCAGGGGGGGGGCGCGGCCGCCGGCGGGGGTGCGGCCGTCGGCGGGCGTGTGTCCGGGGGCGGGGCCTCGGCCTCTCCTCCGTTGGAGCAGGACGCCGAGGCCAGAGGGCCACGTCTCGAGCAGTGGCGAAGGCGTACTTCGGGGGCGGCCCCGGGGGGGGGGTGATTCAGAGGGCAACAACATATGTACATGTACGCGGTTCGTTTTCGTCGAATTGCGTTTGAACGTGGAGGTTCGTGCACGCAAGACCGCGGAGGGCGTACATGTACACATGTCGTTGCTCGCTCAGTGATGACAGGGGGGTGTGGACATCATGGCGGGGTCCATGATGTCTCCCCAGATCTCAGGGCGCCTCTTGTTTACTTCATTGCGTCCCCGCACCTGGGCCGCGCACGTGCCGCCGGCCATGATTTGCGCCCCCCCCCCTCTTGGACGCCCGCCTCTTGGACGCCCCCGACGAGGGCCATTTCTCGAGCAGTGTCGAAGCGTCCCGGATCAGAGAATATTTTGCTGTGGTTTGCACGACATGCTTGTGCAGTCTGGCCGAGGTATAATGACAGAGATCGGCTCGGTGAGGGTGCCCTGATGTTCTTCGTGCTTGTTTGATGCTCTTGTGCGCCCTGGGAAGGGTACCCTCGGATGTTTCGTGCGTTTTGGCCGCCGGAGGGTCTCATGCTCTTGAGGGACGTTCTTCTGTCCTAGGTTCGGCAGTTGATCGTTTGTGGCTGAGACTGTCTTGTTCTAATCCGTCGGTTTTGCGTTCTGAGAACATTGTCTTTGTTCTTGGAACGTTCTCGGGCTAGAAGATTACGTGGTGGGTCTGAAGGAATGCCGGGACATTCGGCCCCAATTTAAACCTCGGACTCGGGAGGGGCCCTGTTCTCCGGGGCTCCCTGCGTCGATCGAGGTCGGGGAGCCCCTCCGTTCCTTGTTCAATCTGGCGCTCCCTCCGGCAGCAGGCCGGCTGTGAACCAGGGCACTGCTAGCCAGGACTCTGAACATTCCACCTGGCGAGAACGAGCAATGGAGAATGCCTCGGCCCTCGGTTGCAGCGTTCTCTGGCGCGCCAGCGTCCTGGCTCGTCCAGCGTTCCCCGTGCCCGAGGGCCCAGGGTGCTGCTCTCTTTCTTTGCGGTCCCCTGGAGGCTGCGGCGATGGTGAGCAACGTGCAGTGATCGACTGCATGGCAGCGTGCCCATTTTGTTTTTTTCCTCCGGAGGTGTCCAGGACGAAAAAGGCTGGCCACCCAGGAGAAGGTGGAGGAGGAGGAGGAGGAGAGAAGAGAAAGAGGAGGAGAGAGAGAGCGGGAGGAGGAGAAGAAGAGAGAGGAGGATGAGAAGAAGAGACAGAGGAGGAGGAGGAGGAGGTGGAGGAGGAGGAGGAGGTGGAGGTGGAGGAGGAGGCGGAGGTGCCCTTAGGAGGTGCCCTTAGGAGGTGCCCAGGCCCCTTATGTTTCAAGTTTTTCAATGGCGGGCTCGGCCGGAAACTTTTTGCCCCGCGCGAGCGGCGGCGCCCCGCGTGCAGCGGGCACAGCCCCGGCTCCTCAGCGGCCAGCGGAGGGGTGGCAGGGGTCCGCGGTGGAGGCCTTCCGAGGGTCGCCCCCCTGCTTCGATAGGGGCACGTCCGGGGCTCGTCTGGATTCCTCCGATTCGATTCGATTCGACTTCGATGGCTTCCGATTCTGATTCGATTCGACTCGGGATTCCTGCCGATTTCCGCCGATTCGACTTTTCCCGACTCGGCTGCCGATTTCCGCCGATCCGATCCGTTTCTATCGCCGATCCGACTTATCGATTCGATTCTGGGCTCTCCTGCCCCCTTGCCTCGAGAGGGGCACGCCGTCGACAAGGGGGCGCCGATATCGACCTGCGAGCACCTGTGAACCGTGGCCCTACGGGTCCAGTCGACGCTGGGGGATCGCGCGCCCCCGCTGGGGTTTTCATTTGGCTGCAGACATCCTTCAAATTCTGAAGACCAGCCGGTCTATCAGAAATCTGAGCTGGAGTGGTAGGGTTCATATGTGGTCGCCTTCCCGCAGATCAGTACCCCCGTTCAGGGTGCAACCTCCGTGTATATGGCCATACATATATATACACATATATAGATATGTACATACATGTGTAAACATCCATATTTACACATCTACATCAATATACACACCCATACATATATGTAGATGGTAGTTTTCACAACTGAGGGCTGAGCAGAGGCTGAGGTCCGACGTACTCATAATTTGGCTCTTAGTTTGTTGGGCCCCAGCGCACGGCGTCCGTGATCTCCGGCCTCAGCGCGCTGGTGCCGGAGCTGGGGCGCAGCCTTGGCACGGGCATCGCCGTTTGGGCGGCGCGTGGCGACCCAGCTGTCTGTCCAGCGTGCACCTGCGAACCCACCCTGCGGCGCCCCGACCTGCACTGTGACTGCTCGGGGCCGCGGGGTGACGCCCAGGCTGGCCCCTCCACCGCCGGGCTGGTGTGCTGCGTGGTGGGCGCGACCCTCGCTGGCGCCTCCGCCGGCGCTGCGGGCGGCTGGGTGGTCTTCCGCCTCCGCGGCCATCACGCTGGCTCGTCCGCTGTCCAGCTCGAGCCAGACGAGTCGGGCGAGGAGGCCCGCGCGCAGGTGAGGGCGCTTCGTGAGCGCGCCTTCGCCTTGCAGTAATGGCGGCGCCTGGTTCTCCGGCGCATCTCTTGCTCGCGGCGGCGGGCGTGGCGGTCGGGGACTTCGTCGGGGGACAGTACAGCGTCGCGGGGAGGGCTCTCATCCACGAGCGCATCGTCGTGGCCTTGAACCTCGCCACCCCCGACACCGCCTCGATCATCACGGTGGATGGCGACGCGTACGAGGAGCAGCTCCGCAGCACGGCGGACGTGCGCCCATGGGACGTGCTGCCGGGTGGATCACCTGGCGGGGTTTTCCCATGGGCGCCGGCGGCGTGGTATTATCGATTCAGGGTTTTTTCCACGGCAGCCGAGCTGACGGCCGCAGCTGGCCGTGCCTGCGCCCGCCAGGGCCTGGTGGCGCCTGCCGGACCCGTGGTGCCCAACGTTGCGGGTGGCCGCCGCGGCCGCGCCCGCGCAGTGCCGCTGGAGGCGCGCTCGCGCCGGCGCCAGCCCCAGCGGCGGCTGCTGTCACCGGCGCCCCTGCCGCCCCAGGGGCCGATGGGGGCTCTCGTGGCGCCTGCAGGTCCCGCCGCGCTTGCCGTGGCGCCGGCCGTGCCGGGGGCTGCCGCGGTCCCCGCCGCTGGCCCCCTCGCTGATATGGGCCCGCGCCCGCGGGCCTGAGGGTGGGTGGGGCCGCCGCCCGCCAGCCCCGGCGGCGACGCCCACATCTTCGCCATCGTGAGGGATGTGCGAGGTGTGCTGCGCGCGGACTTCCGCAGCATGGTGGCGCTGATGGTCGGACTCCCATGGCCTGAGTGGAGTGCGCGGGCCTCGCACGCTGCTGAGGGTGATGCAGTATATGGCGCAGCGGTCAGGGACTCCGGCTGCTCATCACCAGCGGTGGCTGGCCGAGATTGGGCTCGGCCCAGAGTCCCCTGGCGTGGAGATCCACCAGATGGGGTGCGTGGTTATTGAGCCGGCCGTCGCCTACGACCCGGTTCGCGCCACGAATTTCGGGCACCTGGAGCTCGTGGCTTCGGTTCAGGTGCAGGAGGAGCTGCAGCGGGAGATGGCGGCGGCGAAGGAGCGGAGGAAGGCGCGCGAGGAGCGCGCACTCGCCGGTGGCGTGCCAGGCCAGCCGGGCACAGGGCGCGGGAGGGGGCGACGAGGCGGCTGCGGCGGCCGGGGCGGCTCGCCCAACGCCGTCGGGGCCAATGCCTGACCTTCGGGGCGGATGGCTCGGCCAGCCGCCGCCCCTGCCCCGGGTCCCGCCACCAGTGCGGCCCGCTCCCCTGGCGACGCTGGGCACCGACTGCCGGATGAGGACCGACATCGAGACCTTTTCCCTCTGCCGCTGCTGGCTGCTGCGGACGTGGCGCCTGGATCGTCGGGGACTCGGCGGCGAGTTCGAGCCTGCGGCGCCTTCTCGCGCACGCTCGGCCGTGCCGGCGCCGCCGTGCATGCCTTGAATTACCTCTGCGGCGACCGGTCCTCGCCCGCGCCGATGCCGTCTGCCGGGCAGCGCTGCGCCGCCGCTCGCATCTGGGACTCCATCGTCGCCCTCGGCCCTGGGCCGGATGCGCATCGTGGCGGCGTCTCAGTCCCCAGCGGGGCCCTCCGGGAGCTCCTTGCTGGGTCCGCGCTGTGCCCTGGCGGCGGCGGGCCCACCACCCCCTACGTGCCGGACCTCGTTTCCTGGCCGGACGCCGCTGCTTTCCTCCGAGCAACGGTGGAGCGCAACGTGCTCACTCTTTCCCCTTCGCGAGGGCGTCGGGGTAACGTGGGGGGTATTTTTCGTGCCAAAGAAGAGTGGTCAGCTCAGAGTCATCTTCGACGCGCGCCTGGCCAACTGCGCGTTCATCGACGCGCCTCGCACCCAGCTGCCGTCGGCGTCAGCCTGGGGGCGGCTCGAGGCGGGCGACGTTCGGTTCTCCATCGCTTCGGCGGACTTCGACGTGGCCTTTTATCACATGCGGGCCCCTGACGGCATGGAGGAGTATCTCACGTTGCCGCCAATCCCCGCCACGTATTTCGCGCCGCGCGGGATTGCAGTGGCGGGGGTGGACGGCGAGTCGCTCTTGCTGCCTCAGGTGGTGGCGCTGCCGAGGGGCATCCGCTGGGCTTTGCACCTGTGCCGGGAGGTGCTTCAGATTTCTTTGGGTCGCGCTGGCTTCTCGCCGAGCGACCTGATCCTCGACGGCCACTGCGGCTGCCAGGTCACCGACGACCCTGGCTCTGTCGTGGGCGTCGGTTACGTGGACAACTACTTCGTTCTCGGCGGCCCCCCAAAGACGGCGAGCGAGCGGCTGCGGGCCGTCGCGGACGATTTGACGCGCCGCGGGCTTGCTGTGCACGAGCTCGAGGCGCCCTCGAAGGGCCGCGACTTCTTGGGGCTGTCGTTGCGCGAGGGGCGCTGGCTCAGCCTCAGGGCCCGCAGTGCGTGGAGGCTTCGCGCCGCCATCCGCGCTGCGCTCCAGAGGCAGGTCATCAGCGGCTTCCTGCCCCGCGTGCTGACGGGCCACATCGCGCGGGCGCTGCTGCTGCGGAGGGAGCTGCTGTGCATCCTGGGGGCGACCTACGCCTGCATCGAGGCCGCCGGGCCGACGGCTGCCCCGCTCTGGCCCACCGTCCGGCGCGAGCTCGAGCTTGTTCACGACCTGCTTCCGCTGTGCCCGGCGGACCTTGGCGCCGCGTGGCTTGGGCGAGTTGCTTGCGCGGGCGCCTCGCCATTCGGGCTGGGCGACGTTGCTCGCCGCGCCCCGCAGGACCTCGCGGGCGCCATCGGGAGAGTCGCCGAAAAGTGGAGGTTATGATATGGGTGACACAACAAGGCAGACATCTTGGAATTGAGTGAAGGAGGTGGAGGTGCATCGCAGCTCGCATTCAGCCGATGTTTGTCTTTCGGGCGAACCTATAGACAAACGCTCATGTGTTGACCTTGGAAACAAGGCTGTCAATGATGCAGTGATGCACTACCTAGACGTGCGCTTCGTCAATGTTGTCATACTACAACCCAACTGCAGAACGATTGGAATACACTCATATATCAAGTCCCAAGTCAGTTTTGATACTGGGCATGAACGCCACAAAGCAGATCTTCTACATATCAAGTTCTGTGGTAAGGTTGCGATATGTCAGAACGATTCTCGACGGTTGCATTTTCGAGAACAACCAGTGGGTACTTGGGTGGATCAGATACCATCGTGGACCACATTGGCCAAATGCAGGGGCACTTGCAAGGTGGGTATGGACCAATGTATTACCGGCTCGCGTGATCCCCATGGTATTGAGACGACAACCGACCGAGATCATGGCCAACCGCGAAGACGATGTGCCGGTCATCATCAATATGTGTCGGTATGTAACAAAGCACTGTCCATGGCTGCGCATTACTTCAAAGATGCAGTCTCTTTTCGTCGACGCAGTTCAGATCGCGCGCGACCTATTCCAGGTAAGCCGCGATCCCTATCATGGCCACCCTTACTCTTCCACCGTGCTAGTCACGAGCGTGAGGGGTATGATTTGGACGACCCAACTATCCCTCGGCATCCCGACGGTCCTATCACGAGACCGCCCTCGGGAGGGCTAGGATGTTCTGCGTGCGCGGGAAACGCGAACATGCGATTTCGCTCACATGACAGAGACCCCAGACATTGCAGGTGGTATGATAAGGAAGAGCACCATTGGGAATGTCCGAGCTGTAAGAAGAACAATGGCCAGGACAAACCTGGGCATACACGGACACCTAACACAAGCGAGTTTGCAAAACCTTGGAAGCTGCCCGACAATCACGGACAGGCACCGCTGGCTCCCGCCGAACCGGCAGCACCACCACCCGAGGCGCAGGCAGCGCCACCACCCGAGGCACAAGCCGCACCTGCCTTGAGCGGAGCTGGGGGTTCGGATGACCACATCCTACTGCCGCAGGTCAGATTCAGACGTGGCCGACAGAAAGGAAGAGATCCACCTCCACCGCCACCAGCGGGCAACCCTGCTGCGCGACCAAGACTTCCAGAGTGGTCAAGGTTTCACGTACAAATCAGTCTACAAAACTTACGAAGCCTTGACCCAGGCGTGGTAACTCGCGAGCTGCGGAAGCTACCTTTGCGTTGGTTCCAAGCAGTGTGTTTTACTCTGCCGCCTGGATCGGCTACGGTGCTTCGAACTCTCCCAGGATTCGAACGCTACGACGAGTCGAAGCACTGCCTGCAGTGCCTATGGCGAGGCACTGGCACCACGGACGCACCTCGAGCTTTCGCATAACTGCTCGCGAGGACCACGAGATGTTTTGGTCTCAAACCCACGTCCTACGACGAGGAGTTCGAGACGAGCAGTAACCTGATCACGGCCAAATATGCCGATGGCATCAATATGGCCTGCACAGAGGACACCATTGACAAGTTGACGAGTGCGTGAAGTGCGTAGAAGACACCTCTGGTAAGTTTAAGCTCAACAAGCACACGTGCACCACTTGTGCTGTGATATATACCAAGGGTGAGGACGGCAGTGTTATGTTGGACCAAGATGAATACATCAAGCAGCTCCGCCCTATACAGCATCCTGAACTTACAGGCGCCGGCGCTGACGCCCAAGCATCCAAGATGGTTGCAGACCTGTTCGTCAGCCGTAGAGGCGCATAGACGTATGCATTAATCACCCAGGTGTGTTGGATGGTGCATGTTTGTTTCTTTGCAACGTGTCCGCTATTTGACCAATATACGAGTGCGGCGAGTGAACGCGATCACCGCGAATCTGCAGGCCTGCCCCCAGAAGATCGTCTACCAGGCGATGATCCCCGCGAGCGAGTTTGACCGGCGCAGCGACTCAGGTTACCGACGCCTGGGTGGAGATTCCAGTGACGAAGCCGAAAGCTATGGTACTCGCGGGGCAAACCTGCTACGGTGCGGAATCGCGCCATCCGGTAAGCCCGTCGCTCACTTGACCGATGCGTACTGCAAGTCTCACCGCTTGCAGGTCCGCTCGAACTATTCAGCAGGGACACTAGCAGCCGCCCACAACTTGGAGGACTGCTATCCCACGATCGTGACCCTGCACGAGGTCCACGCAGGGCCGCTAACTCCCACCCAGTTGAAAGACATACTTGAGTTCGGTGGCCTGAGCATCAAGTGTACTTTTGACTATAGATGCTGCATATGTATGCAGTCCTTGCCAAGCAAAGACTTGAATAAATCCATTGACTGTACCTTTTCAGGACACGTCAGCTGGATACGACAGATGATGGAGCGAGGAATCGTGCGCAGCATTCAGTGGTGTGTCACCCGCGATATGACTGCGGACGGTCACACCAAGGGGAGCATCGACGGAGAAATGCTCCTACATGTCATGGGAGGAACACAATCCTTCAAACGTGATTTAAAGCGTCATACTCCCTATCGGGCTGGCCAGACATCTCGTTCTGTAGCCGCCTGAGGAGTGCTCGTATGTACAGTATAGTGCAGGCAAGGCAGCTTGCGTGCGGGTTCACCTTCCTTACGGCCCCGCCCTTCTGCTGCCCCTTTTGTAAATCGTCGCTGCTGTACCTGTTGTATAGAGGCGGCGGATTCACGCTTCGTCTCCCTCCCCCCGACTCTCAAAAGAACTGGGTGTTGCATGTGACCTGGAACGAACGCGCGTCCGCGGCTGCTTGACTCAAAGCGGCCGGCCGCCCAGATCTGACTACACTTCAGCGCGGTGTACCATTTGCCATCGATACCCAAACTGCTTGAGATGGCTCGCCCCCTGCTACTGGGACTATCGGTACTGCGGTACAACAGAGCGGGAGCTGGGCTTCGCCTGAGGCGAAGCTGCTGGTTGGGCCTCCCAACCCTTTCAAACTCATACACCCTGCTAGGTAGCCCTTGGGATTCTTCCACGCTTCAACGTGCCGCAGGCACGGTGGCGGATATCCGTGGTCGAAGATTGACCCAATCTGGCATACTCCCGCTTCGTCCATAGCCCAGGGTAGCTTCGCCCCAATCTGTCCAAATGGTTTCTGAAACGGGCTTCGTCGTGTTCAACCGTTGTTACGAATTCAGTAATTGGTAGACTCCCGACCGCCTCGGGGGCTGAATGTTTTACTTCCGCACTGGTGGCTGGGGCTCTGGTGGTTGAACCAGTGTGTAAACACAGTCGGGATCATCAAAATCTGAGGGGGCAAGAACACACAGAGACAATTTATCGCCGATTTATAGGAGAGTACGCAGGAGAATATGGAAAATGGGGGAGTACGAAAATCAAGAAACGATGAGAACATATTGAGCAATTTAGATTTGTGTGCATTTGTGTGTGTGTCCTTGGGCCCCTTCAAGTACGAGTCCAACATTCGTGACCACTACTTCGCAACCCCAGCTGGTGGTGGTTAGCGGGGGCGGGTTCCCTGAGTGGACCGCCAGCGCCACCTGGGCAACCACCGTTTGGATCACGAGCTAGATAATGGTCAATGTCCTTCTACAGGAGGACTATTCGAACATATTAACAAAATGGTGAGCGGACGATTGTTCGAGTATATTTTAGTATTTGTTGAACGTAATTCGGCAACTTCCAGCTATTCCAACAACATGCCCGACATAAGGTTTGCCTGTGCTTGGGCAGGGTCCAAGTGCGCAAGCAGACGGCAGCAGCCACCATCCCGTCGGCGAAAACCATCATTGTATCCGCGGCCTCGCAGGCCTGGCCCCTGCGGGCGTTTTTGTCGCGAATGCGCCGCGCGGATGAGGCATCCGTGCGACCGCGTGTCCGTGGGATCGCGCCCTGGCATCCGGACCGCGAGGACGTACGTGGGTCGGGTCTCAAGAGACGGGGGTCGGTGCCAACGGTGGTCAGCCAAAGCGCCAGATCTTGCAAGATCCTGCGGGGCCAGGGTCGCAGTGACCCAGGGCTGGGTGCAGGCTCCTGCAGGATCTTGCAGGATCCTGCGCGTTGGCCCGAGTTTGGGTGCAGGATCTTGCAGGATCCTGCAGGATCCTGCGGGGCGCCTGACTGATTCGGGTCTGGATCGACCCGGGGCAGAGGCTTCCAGATGCGGATGTGTTCGCCGCTCGTGACCATCGGACTGACCACGAAGTCGCTCCTCCGGCGATCCGCGCGGATTGCCAGGGTCGGCTCCGTGCCCCCCTCCCTGGCGCACGGAGCGCGCCGAGTGCGCCGCTCGGCGCCGGGCTGCGAAACCAGCGTGGATCTCCGAAAGTTTATGTTTACGCCGATGTTTCCCTAGAGGAAGCACTATCCCGACCCCGATAACTGGCGTTTGCTGAACGGCCCTGGACGCTTTCGAGTCATTCCCTCCAGCCTGCAGCTGAACGTGGCGGTGCCACCCCAGGGGTGGACCCAAACTGTGCTTTTGCAATTTCGGGGTCCGTTTTCGTTCCGAGTGCGTTTCACAGCGAAGGCGGATTGGAGGCACAACGAAGGACAACGAAAACAAAGCGAACACGAAGAAGACTGTTTGTCGGCGGCGAGCAAAGGGGGAGTGAGGAGGAGAAGGCCTTCTCAGCAGGCGGCGGGGCTTCTCAGAAGCCCTAGAGCCTTCTGAGAAGTCTTCTGTGTTTTCGGGGAAGGCTTGGAACCCTTCTCAGCTTGCCGGGGGGCTTCCGAGCCTTCTGAGAAAGCCCGCCCCTTCTCGCTTCCCCCCCAGGCGCGCCACCGATCAGAGAGCTGGGCAGGGTGCCGATATCGCTAGGCACCCTTTCCTCGCTGTCTCCTCCCCCGGACCTCCTGGCAGGCCCTCGTCGCACGGCAGGTTTCGCCTCGAAGTCCTGGCCAGAGCGTGCCCTGGGGTACCTCCAGGCTTCCCCAGCAATGATGCGCCCCACGATGTCCAGGACTCCTCCCCGGGATTTCGGAGCACTCGTTCTGCACAGGCTCGTGAAACGAGGGTCGGGTAGATACTCTGTGACTCCTGGGAGGGCTCCTGAGCCAACCGTGTCATGCAACCATCTTCGCCATTCAGCCATCAAATAAGCTTTCGGAGGTCCGCTGGAATTTCTTGGATTGGCGCTGTGCCCCCCTGGCGTCGCCTCCAGCGCCGCCCCCGGCGCGCTCCGTGTGCCAGGGATGGGGGGCACGGCGCCGATCCCAGAGATCCGCGCAGACCGCCGGAGAAGCGACCTGGTGGTCAGTCCGATGGTCACGAGCGGCAGACGTGTTCGCATCCACGCCCTCGCGGTCTGGATGCCAGGGCGCGATCCCGCGGACACGCGGTCGCACGGATGCCTCATCCGCGCGGGGCATCCGCGACAAAACCTTCCGAAAGTTTGTGCTACTGAAGCGTTGCTGTTTTGCGGTGGGTGCAAGACTCGAAGGGTTATGATGTTCCAGTCTATTTTAGCCTCGATCAGCAGAATGCATTTCGAGCACCACGAAAGTACAGAAACTTGAGGGTTTTCACGTGCCCGGCCCTGGGAGGCGGTACTCGTTCGACGCTGTGTCGATGTTTCTCTGGGTGCTCGAAGGTATTTCTGGGATGTGGTCCTCAAGTACGATGGGAGCAAACTAATCCAAGGGGTCCGCTCTCCTCGAACCGCATCCTGGGGGGCCCCTGCCGCCCTCCTCCATCCCGCCCCCCCAGGGTTCGTGCGCTGCCGAGCTGCCCGCCCTGCCTGGATTCGACGGCGCGCCCAGGGGGTCGATGAGAAGGTCAGAGGAAGAGAAGGTACCCATGACGCTTTCCCTCGTCTCGTTTTCCCTTTTTTCGGCCTCCTGGGAGGCCCTCGTCGCTACAGCTGGAGTCGCCTCGAAGTTCTGGTCATAACGCACCCCGGGAGAGGTCCGGGGAGTAGCGGTATCGGTACTTTCTAGTTGACCCATCAGGGGCGGGCCTTCTCAGGAGGCTCGGAAGTCGCCTTCTGGGAAGGCCCTCTCCTTCTCACTCCCCCCCGGGGGCGCCGCCGATGCATGTCCGTGTCGACGAGATGCGACGAGTTTAAATCCACTGCGAGCAACATTTTTTCTTTCCTGCAATCGTGCGAGCCCTGATCCCGCTGGGAGTAGTACATAGAATATTGCAGTGTGGACCGCCGACTGCCAGCAGTATTAAGAAGATGGAGAGGTAAGTGGCGGCCCACGCCCTCCCCTCTTCTTCCTCCCCCCTCCATCCTCTCCTGCATTCTTCCTCTCCTACCCTTCCTCCCGCCCTCCCTCCTCCCTCCGCCCTCCTCCCTCCCATCCTTTTTTTCCTTCCCGCCTCCCACCTCCCTCTTATTCTTCCTCCCGCTCCGTCCATCCTCCCATATCCTCTCTGCTTTTTCTCCCCTCCTGTCTCATAGTGCTCCCCCTGTCCTCCCTCCTCCCTCCTTCTTTTCATCCTTCAATCCTCACTCCTTCCTGCCTCCCTCCCTCAGGAGAAGCAGGGGGCGAGGGCCGAGGAGGTGGGTTGGGATCGCCCCCCGAAGGGGAGCCCCCCCAGGAAGGACGAGGATGATGATGAGCAGGATGATGATGCGCAGGAGGAGGAGGAGGAGCAGCAGGAGGAGCAGGAGGAGGAGGAGGAGGAGCAGGAGGAGGAGGAGGAGGCCCAGAGTTAACCGAGGCTTCATCAGCGATGCAGTACGCCCTCCCGTCCCGAGGCCCCCTCGTCCTAAGTCCCTGCCGGCCTCGGGCATTCCCCTACTCTGCGGGAGCTTCCTCCCCGCCTGAAGAGGCGATGGCCCCCTGGGCCTGCCGCTAAAAAGCGGGAGCCGCGGCTCGCTGGTGAGCCGCCCGTCATCAGCTCTCTTTCTCCTTTCCCTCGCTCTGCGAGTGAGTCCGGCCTGTCCCTCAACAGGGGGAATATTCAAACCCAGTCAAAACATGGTCTGGGGACGCTCTTTCAAAGCATTCTGGTGCTACGCTTGGGTATGGTTTGAGCATGTTTGATTTGTCGTCCAAAATCCGCCAGTGGGGGGGCATGCCCGACCGAACTCTACGAGTGATTCGGGACATGACCATGCATTGTAAGGGCATCTCCTGCGAGAGCTATGTTTTTGACGCGAGGCCGCAATCCATCCGCACAGTTGGTGAACATCTTTGGCAAGGATTGCAGTAGTCAGTGGAGAAGTTCAGGTGTTAAGAGTGCACGGCGTTTACCCGTGTAGCTCTTGCACACACTTGTGCATCAGCTCGTTAAGTTTGATGGTGGTACCTCACGCGATATCATTGATTATGCGTGAACCGCCCTCCATGCTTCTAATTGGTGAGAGCTGTTAAGACGAACTTGGGTTCGAGGGTGTCTGCCGTGCCAAGCTACGGGGAGCACAGGTTCAGTCCTGGGTATCAGTCCTGAGTTCACGCCACCGCGCGAAGGCCAGCCCAGCAGTTCGGTCTTTCATGCGTCCATGCGGGATGGAGTTCCGTAGTGCTCGTTTAAAGAGGTTGTGTGTATGTGCATATGTTTGTTTGTTCGTGGTTTTCCATGAATCCATGCTGAATGGAGTTCCGTAGTTCTCGGTCTGAGCATTCGTGTGTGAATGTGTGTGTTTTCGCCAGCTCCGGATCTGTTTCGGACTCCCGTGGTTTTATCAAGATGTCCCAGCAAACCCCGGAAACGGTCTGACAGGGACGGCGTGGGTCTCCTTCACGGAATCATCATCTGGTCCTTTTGGGACTCCTGTCTTCCATCTTCTCTCCGTCTCTCTCTTGCCAGTCTTCCTCTTATGTGTTCTTCCTCCTCTTCCTTTTCCTCCGCCTCCCAGTCGGTTACCCAATTCAGGGCGGAATCAGTGAACACCAAGAGAGCCAAACACAATACAGAAAGCATTAAAATGTCAAACATTACAATCTTAGGACACTTTTTGCCAATCCCCCGTCACCCAAGGACGTTCCCAAGTTGTTTTATGCTGTTTTAAGGTTTCATATTGTTTTCAGTGACTCAGGCCTGAAAGGGGAACCGAGTGGGAGGATTAGTTCCCTACCTAGGCTCTGCCTAGAAGGGGCCGGGCAGTGGAACACGCCCCGGGCGGTTCCCCCAGTCCCCTGGGAGCGGTTCCCCCCAGTCCCCTGGGAGCTTTAGCTTTAGCTTTAGCTTTGGCTTCGCTTCAGCTTAGCTGTAGCTTAGCTGTAGCTTAGCTTCAGCTTAGCGTTTCGCTTAGCTTTTCGCTTAGCGTTTAGCTTAGCTTTGGCTTAGCTTTAGCTTAGATTTAGCTTAGCTTGAGCTTAGCTGTAGCTCAGCTTTAGCTTAGCTTTAGCTTAGCTTTAGCTCAGTGTTCGCTTAGCTTTAGCTTAGCTTTAGCTTAGCTGTAGCTTAGCTTTAGCTTAGCTGTTGCTCAGCTTTAGCTTAGCTTTAGCTTAGATGTAGCTCAGCTTTAGCTTAGCTTTAGCTTAGCTTTAGCTTAACTTTAGCTTAGTTGTGGCTTAGCTTTAGCTTAGCTTTAGCTTAGCTTTAGCTTAGCGTTACTGTTACTACTAATGCTGCTTTCCTAGGGGTTCCAACTCCTAGGTAGGGTCGCACTGGGATATTTTTTTGTTACCAGTAATTCCTCAGCGAGGATTTCCTATCCAGGGTTCCTTCAGAACGAAATCTCTAGCAAGGAATATTCAATCGCTTCGCTCACTCCGCCGGCCCATGTTGCATGATCGCTACTGCTTCGCCGTGGGCCCGGGGCCATTGTGGCGCCGCCGAGGAGGAGGAGGAAGATGAGGATGGGGAAGGGGAGGGGAGGAGGAGAAGATGAGAAGGAGAGGAGGAGGAGGCGAGGATGAGAAGGAGAGGAGGAGGATGAAGAAAAGTAGGAGGAGGAGGAGGAAGGGGAAGGGGTGGAGGAGGAAGCCTCTCGTTGGCATCTTGTGTTGCTCTTGGGGCCAAACAGGGTCGTCGTCAAGATGCTCCTCTGGAAGGCCTCTTGGGGTCTTTTTGAACTTCTGGGGCCTCTTTTGGGCCTCCTTGGGGCCTCCTGGGGCCTCTTGGGGGCCTCTTGGTAGCATCTTGGGGCCTCTTGTGGGCATCTTGGGGGCCTCTCGGGGCCTCCTGGGGCCCTCTTGGGGCGGAAGGCTCGAGTTTTCGGTTCGTGGTCCCCCTCTTAGGGCCCTCTTGGGGCCGTCTTGGGCCGTCTTGGGCGCCTCTTGGGCCGTCTCGGGGCCCTCTTGGGCCCTCTTGGGGCCCTCTTGGAAGCCTCTTGGCCCGTCTTGGGGCGGGGCCTCTTGGGCCGTCTTGGAGCATCGGATGGCCGAAAGGCGACAAGGCCAAAATCCTTCCAAAACCATAGTAAAATTGATGATTTTGGCCTGTCGGGCCCTCTTGTGAGGCCTCTTGGGGGCCACTTGGAGGCCTTTTGGGCCGTCTTGGGGTCATTATCGGCGTCTTGGAGCGCTCTTTGGGCGTCTCGGGGGTCTCTTGGACCGTCTGGGGACCTCTTGGGGCCCTCTTGGACCGATTTGGAGCTCTCTGGGGCTCTGAAAAAGAGTTCTGGCATCCTTGAACAGGACTTGCCGGGAGTCTGCCAGGGTACTTTTGTCCGGGGACCCCCAGGGCCCGCCCCGCGCGCGCGAATTAGAAAGATTGTTTACCAGCTACCGGAGATCTTAGCACGCCTCTGGCCCGTTGGGCCGGCGAATTTAGCCAGGATTGCTGAGTAAAGAGTGGGTAGAAGAGGGTTATCAGTAAGAAGTCTTTCAGTACGGGTTCACTCGGCAACATTTCCAAATCATTCTGTGGAGTTTGCTTCTCGTTTTGAATCCGCAGCGCCGAGCGTCTTCTCCTCCTCCTCGTCCTCCTCCTCCTCCTCCTCCTCCTCCTCCTCCTCCTCCTCCTCCTCCTCCTCCCCCGCCCATGATCTTGGCTTCGCTCCTGCCCGAGGCGGCCGCCCGCTCCTGCCTGGCCAGGGGTCTGGCCATCGCGCACAGGCAGCACCCATGGCGAATTGTGAAGGAGCCCATCAGCGCGCTGGTCCTCACGCCCGAGAGAGTCAAGTGGTGGTTTCGTCTAGGGCGACCCGTACAGGCTCCACGCACGACGCCATGGGTTGCGTATACGAGGTGCGGAGGCATTCCCCGGCCTTTTTCGGCCACGTGGTCTCCCTGGACTGCCGCGTGACGATCGGGCTCGAGGAGGTGGCCAGGCAGGGTCCCGGCATGTGGGGCTAGAACGTCCCGCCCTTCTGGCAGCCGGTCTTGGACCTCACGGGTCACCGCTCGGCGGTGTGGGACCTGCGCCACCAGCGGGCGCTGCGCAGCCTGGTCCAGAACACCTACTGGTGCCAGGCCAGGGTCGGGGCCGTCGACTTTTCGGCCCCGACCATCTTCCAGCTGTGCGGATTCAGGGACGGCTCCCTCCTACAACAGGCGGTCCAAGTGCGAGGCCCACGACGGTTGGCGAAGCGAGTTCTTCGAGCCCCCGCTGAGGCAGGCGACCGAGGAGGTGGAGGGCCTCGGCTACCTGTTTACGGAGCTGTTCGCCAGGGGGCTCTTCGCCGACGTGTCGGAGCTCTTTCAGCGGCCGGCGCGGCCCGTGGGTGATTTCTTCCAGTGCTCCACCAGCTGGCTCGGGATCGGATCCTACCGCTATGGGGATCGCATCTTCGTCGAGGGCTCGGGCGTCGACCAGGCCTACCCCAACCTGCGGGCTGCTTGTTGGCCCGTCGTTGTGTACGACGTGAACCGCAAGCTGCTCGCCGAGGCCTGGGGCGCGGTCCCGCTCAGCGGCTCAGCGAGAGCCCAGAGCAGCTCGGCCCAGAGCAGCTCGCCAAGGATGGCGAGGACTACGCGGTGAAGGTGCTGACCTAAGCGGTGGCAGGCGGCGCCTTTCCGCCTCTACATTGACTGCCTCGCCACCGTGCGCGGCGCAGGCCGCCCAGAAGTGGCGGCGTCCGCCAGTTGCCACCGTGCCCACCTCTGGGCTGGGAGGGCGGAGGCGTTCCAGGACGCCACGGTGGTCACGGTCAAGGCCCACTTGAACCAGTCGGCGGTGAAGAACGGTCAGACCACCCATTCCGAGCTGGACGGCAATGCCAGGGCGGACATGCGGGCCGAGGAGGGAGCTGCGGCCGCCAGGGCGCCACTGGCGGACATCCAGTGCCTCGAGGGCTGCCAGGTTATCGCCCGACAGGCGGCGCAGTATGCAGAGCGGCAGGAGGTCCATACCTCTCGTTGTGGACTGATGGACTCCATGGGCGCCGGCGCGCGCAAGCTGATCGACCTGGGCGAGTGGCCCGAGGGTCCCGACGAGTCGGGCGGGGATGATGGCGTGAAGCCTGAAGCAGTTTCCTCGGCTCGGACGGGGGCAAGCGGGCAGCCGCAGACGGGTGTTTGTGTCCGTGGCGCGTGCTCGGGCGCGCACTTCTCGCGGCGCCGATCTTCGCGGATCAAAATGCTCGCGATGCAACGCGATCGAATGGTCTCTTGTTGTGTTGCTCCACGTGCTGTGGGTGCAATTCTGATGAGAAGGGACGAGGCCCTCAGTATACACGTTCTGGGGGGCCGACCCCCAGTGCCAAGAACAATCGCAGCAGTGTCAGCCTGGGAAGCACCCCGAGAGCGGGAAACGGTTTCCTGGTAGCCTTAGGTCGCCCCCGGAATCTGACATCGATTTCTGGACTGGGCATCAATCCCGCGGTGGCTCCGTGAAGGCCCAAGCGGGTCCCCCGACCGACGGCCCGAAGAGGCCGACTGCCCTGGAGGTGTTGCCGTCCTTCGGGCTCCAGGTGGCCCGAGCCCAGCGGTTGGGGTCGAGAGCTTTAGAGGCCCGAACCGAGGCCCCTGTGTCGAGGCAGAGGGCCCGTGCGGCCCAGGGTCCTGAGGACCACCCAGGGTTCTGATCCGAGGGCCCGTGCGCAGCTCGCTGCGCGCGGGTGAGTTCGCTGCGCACGGGTGCGTGGGCCAGTTGCTTGTGCGGGCCTTGGGCCGAATTCGTCCTGCTATATTTTGTTCGGTCAATTCTAGCCTCCTCCTCCTCCTCCTCCTCCTCCCCCCCTTTCTCTCTTTCCTCCTCCTCCTCCTCCTCCTCGTCCTCCTCCTCCTCCTCGTCGACGGCATCATTGTATATTTTAAATATCAATCACACTCAATTACAACCTTTATCGTTGTCATCCCATATTCGTCACATCCCTCATATGCTTCGTGGCCTCATGGGGAGTGCAACCGAAGGCCCCAAAGGCAGCGTTCGCGGACCGCCCCCCGACCAATTCCGGCACCTCCCTCACTTGTTTCGTGGCCCTCAGGGAGTTCCACCCAAAGGCTCAGTGGCAGCGTTCGCATGCCGCACCCCAAACAATTTCGGCACACCCCTTACACGTCACGTGGCCCCAGGAAGTTCCACCGAATACCCAATTTGCAGCGCTCGCATATCGCCCCCGCGACCAGTTCGGCACACCCCTCACACGCTGAGTGGCCCATAGGGAGCTCCACCGAAGGCCCCAATGGCAGCGTTCGCATATCTTCACCCGACAATTTCGGCACACCCTTCACACGTGGTCGCACAGGGACCTCCACCGAAACTCCCATTGGCAACGTTTGCATACCGCCCCCCGTTCATTTTGGCACGCCCGTCGCACGTTTCGTGGCCCCTCAGGAGCTCAACCGAAGGCCCCTGTGGCAGCGTTTGCGTGCCGCCCCCCGACCATTCCGGCACACTCCTCACACAGCTCGTGCCCCCGACGGGGCTCCACCGAAGGCCCCAGTGGTAACGATCGCATACTGCCCTCCGACCATTTCGATACACCTTCACACGTTTCGTGGCCCCTGGATGCTCGCTCGAAGGCCCCAGGGGCAGCGTTCGCATACCTCCCCCCCGACCATGATGGCACACCCCTCGCACGCTTCGTGGCCCACAGGGAGCTCCACCGAAGGTCCCAGTGGCAGCGTTGCAAACTCCCCCCCCGACCATTCTGGCACACCCCTCGCACGTTTCGTGGCCCACAGGGAGCTCCACCGAAGGCCCCAGTGGCATCGTTCGCATACCCCCCCGACCATTTCGGCTCACCCTTCGCACGTTTCGTGGCCCCCAGGCAGATCGTTCCCCGAACGTTTCCCACACACCCTTGACACGCTTCGGGGAACCATAGCCAGGTCCCCGGCGCATCGTACAGGGCTGCTGCAGCTCACTCCATGTATCTCGTGTATTGAGCGGTCCTGCGTGTAGTCACTTCATGTTTAAACAGGGGGATGGGTTCTTCGCCTGGCTTTTGTTGTAAGGGTTTCTTTAGTACGGATTCTTCGATGAGGGCTTTTCAGCAATGGCTCTTCAGTACGTGTTCCGTAGAGAGGATTTCTGTGTACGGTGTTCTTCAGTATTGCGTCCTAAATTCCGAAAGTTGTGGTCATGATCCCTTGCTGAACCCTATTTGGTACGATCTCCTTTGAGGGTTTTCTCCAGGTGAAGTCCTCATCTGGGATTTACCTGCCAGGATCTATTATTTTGGATTCGTCAACAAGGAATAGTTCAGTAAGGACTCGCTAACAAGGATTCCATCAGAAGCCTTCTCCGGTAACCATGCCCAAGGAAGGAGTCCTTAGTCTTGCATCCTTCTGCTAGGATTGAATAAGCAAGATGTGTTATTACGGATTCGCCAGCAAGGGTTCTTGAGTGCGTATGTTTTTCCCCCAAAGAACTTCGTAGTACGGGGCCGTAGTAAGGACTCATGGTTGCAAGTTGTTTTCCAGGAATCCTACTGGACACAGCCTGCCTATGGAACCAGGATTGCGGAATTCCTGACAAATCATTTGTTGATGTGGAGTGCTCGCTAGGGAACCCGTGCCCAGGGGCCCTTCCTAATCAGGAACCTTACTGAGGGGTCACCAGGGAAATCTTAAGATCGGGGCATGGGTAAGGAATTCATAGTTCGGAGG